GTGAGGATTTTTGTCCCGAGTTGTTCTGGATGGATGTCTCAGCAAAATATCATAGTACTTACTGAACTTTACAGGTATGTCACACTTTTGGTAGGCAAATGTATGGCAGAAAGGTCCTCTATGTTTAATGAGATCTTTGATATGGCAGTTCTGGTTCAAATTATGCACTGAAACAAAATCTAGTAACTTCATGATGATGACATAATGATCTAGGCCACAATCTGATGCACCATCTGAGGTTTTAGACATTTATTTCTTGCCCTTTAGTAGATGGTGATTATAGATTACTGTAATTGTCAATAAAACAAGATGCACAGCCCTTTCAGAACTTTGGATTATTATCTGCATTCTGAGACTAGAGATTACATGAGAGGTCCCACTGACAAACTAGAGGATAACAAACGTGAAATGTCTTAACAATACTGCTCACAAATGGTGATTATTAAATAAACTTCTTTATTTCATTTTACTTAAAGTTTCACATTTTCTGAATTTACTACGCTGCAAACTTCTGGCAGCTGTGATCAATGACAACATAAACCACCCCATAACCTTCTGGCATAACAGGATATGATTGTCAAACTGATAACATGATTTTGGATTCTGTGTTTTGAGTTCCTATTCTTATACCAAGATTAATTCATGTCTTCCAGAATATATTTTGTACTACTCACACAACAATTCAACTACTGCGGGCTTCACATTCAAATCACATCCTTCCCAAAAAGTTTTACACATTCAAAAAATGTGTTTCCTGCAGGACTACCTTTATCAACTACACTTAAATCTGCTGCTACAGTGCGTACAATCAAGTGCGCGCCGCAGCTGCAATTTGCCATGAGTCATACCACCGCAGAACGGATGCAACTCCTCCCCGCGACTGCAGTGCTCCTACGCCGATGGTTGCATAATCGGAACCCGAGGTTGCATTAAACAGTCAGTCTTTGTCTTGCTGTGGAAGTGGAGTGGAATGTTTACAGCTGTCGACAGACGGTGGAAATGAAGTTCACTATTAAACAGCGTGTGTTTATTGTCGAAACTATTGCAAGGAAAAACATTTACAGAAAATTCGCACGTAGGTTTCGTCAGAAATATCCTGACTCGCCAGTTCCCACAAAGTCGTGTGTAAACAGGCTTCTGAAAAAGTGGCGGGCCACAGGTTCAGTGAGTGACAAGAAGAAGCAATCGAAGAGAACTGTGCTGACTGAAGAAAAGGTTAAGGATATTCAGGCAAGATCACAGAACAGATCA